TGATGTGGGGCTTGATCCCAGGACCCTGAGATCATGACCTGAGCTGAAGGCAGATGCTTAACTGAGCCACCAGGCGCCCCTAGAAATGCTTTTAGATCATCCCTTCTTGGCTTATCAAGAGGTGATAGTTTTGTGGTTTTTTGTTTTGTTTTTTTTTTAAGTTACTAAAAAGGTACCTGATTGGTCTCAGTGCAAGTGGTCCGGGGAGGTAGACAAAGAGGGTATCAGACTGGGTTGTTCCAATTTCCTTTGGTCACTGGATATGTCATCTTTCATGAGTAATTTTTTTTTAATCTTCTGAGAACTTCCTGAATCAGGAGAATTTTCCTTGAAGCCTTTTTATGAATGCTTTGGGTTGGCTTCCTTGGGTCTCTTTACTGACACTGGCTCCCATCTCCTGCTTCAGACTTTGAGGATAAAGATCATGACTGGGAGCCTCTTCAGCAATCTGTCCTTGAGTTGTTGGAGCACCTTGTTCAGCCTTCTGGAGAACAGGCAGAGCCGGGCAGTTTGTGTTTTTCTTGGGTGGTCTCTAACCAAAGACTGTCTGATGCAGGGCTCTAGAGGCCCAGATCCCTTGGTTAGAAACAGGAGCTCCCAGGCTATGGGGCTAAGGCTAGGACTTTTCCTAACTGACCTTTATTTCTCTTCTTGATCTTGCTTCCTGCATCCCTTACTGGTCTCTCCCAGGAGCACTTTATGAATACATCACTTGGCTAAGTGTCAGCTTCTTTGAGAGCCCAATTTGAGACAGACCTTTTCTCCTGAATTCAAAAGACCCTAGAATCAAATATGGATACTCCTATCTAGATGATAGAGGGAAACGTTGACCCCTCCCTGAGATTTTACAGAAAGAATATTAGCAACGTTTATGTGTTCTATTCTTTGCACAGTTGTAGACATATGTCCTGAAGAGGGTCATAAAGGATATTTTCAGCAATGTAAAATGCAGGACTAAATGGGCAGAAAATCCAAGAAATAAATGCAGCCATGCGATGAATGCCTGGGTTCCAGGTGCTGTGCAAGGCGCTCATGTATCAGCTCCTTTCATCCCCGTGATTAACCGAGGAGGTCAGTCAAGCCCCCGTTGTAAAGATGGGGAAACTGAGGCATAGAACATTTCCGTAATTTGCATGATCATACAGCTAACTGGCTCGCCCCACTTCAGAAACAAGAATACCCCAAGATTGGGGGAGCTTCCAAGCCCCATCTTGTACCTTTGGAATAGTGAAGATTGACAACTAGGAGCAAATTCCATCCCCCACAAATTGCCACTTAACACAGGCCAGACTTCCTGGGAGCATGAATATGACCCGAGACAAGGGCATTGTCCCCACGAGAGCGAAAAGGAGACTGTTTTCCTGCTTCTTGCCTTGCCATCTTCCCTGGTAAACATGGGGTGGGCAGGGGTGGGGGTGAAGGTGGGGACTGTCATTCACTGTTGCGCTGAGAACAAAGCATGGCTGACGTTGCGGGGAGAGCCCCGGGAAGCATTTCAAAGCTCCACTGGAACTAGACAACCTTTCAATCCATTTATCAAAGTGTCTGCAGTTCCCGTTTCAAGGTAGATGAAGCAATAATAAATTTGTGAAGAAAGTTAATCTGTGTCCAAAGCATTTTAGTAAATTAAAAAGGGGGGGGCTGGCTGGAAGGGGGATATATTGGTTCTTGCCAACTCCTATTTGACTTACTGTCTCCTTAATAAGTCCTCTTTGGTCTTGTGTTTTTGGATGGAATAATCCATCGGTTAATCATTTTCTGGAAGCAGGAAAATGCACTTTAGCTAATGCAGTTCTCCTTTCTTTCAGAGTCCTAATTATTTAAAAAGGCATCCCAATCCGTAGTCCTACTTCCCAACCAAGAAAACGTTTCCCAACAGCCATCTTCCTTTACATCCCCCAGAAAATCTCAGCATGCCCCTTATCCTCTCACCGTGCTCCAGCCTTGTCCTTTTCCCTGGTTCCTTCTGAGCATTTTCCCTCAGGAGGGGCAAGGCACTAAACCCCCAGCAAGCAATTGGCCGGAACTAGGCTCTTGGGCACTACGGATAGATTTTGTTATTTTTATTTAAATGTCAGCTGAAAATGGTGGCTCTTGTCTCTCTCAAGGGTAGTGCTTAGCACTAGCTCCATGCTCTGGCATCACGCTGAGATAAACACGCTATTAGGAGCCTTCACAAAGGCCTCGAGATAATTGTGAAGGGATAGTTACCGAAAATGAAGCACCCAGCCCTGAACCCTCCTCCATGCCCCATCAGTAACACCATTAAAGCTGTCAGTTTGTCAGCCCACTGGAGGTATTTATGAAATCAATATACAATCCTGCAGATGGATGGCAGTGGTATTGTTAGCTGGAGAACAGAGGCTCAATGGAAAATAAAACTAATAAAATTTACAAGCGGATTGTCATGGGGAACAGATAAATTCCCTACAATCCACTGTTTTGCTCAGTTGCGGCAGAAGCAAAGCCATGGCAGGGAGGTGGAAAGAAAGCTGTGTTTTAAACTGGGTCCCTTCAACTAGGAGCAAAACTGGGTCTACTTCCAGCAACGAAATAGTGACAGGAAACCCAAGTGGCTGCCCGGTGCCATTGCAGGGTTTTTCCCATGTGATTGCTTCTGTGGGACGTTTCCCAGCAGCTGGGCTGGATTTTTCTGCTAAAATGCTACTCTCCTCTCATCCCACCATATCACAAGCCTGAACTGTCATGCGATGGTTATTTCTTCAGTATGTTTGGGGTACCTTAAACTCCAAGGGTTAACGCACTACTAGAGGACGTGCCCCTTCTCCTGGCTCCCAGGCATGGTTATAGCTGACTCGTCCAAACCTCTCTCCTGTTTGCTCCCCTGCCCCTGATTCTGATCACCAGCCGTTGGCCAGAAGTGTGGCCTGACCTGTTTCCCAGAGTGGCCAAAGATAGCAGCCAAGCCTGGGAGGGTAGTGGGTAGGGGCTTGCTGTCCTGGAGACCAGCCTTTGCTTGGCAGAAAAGACTAGGCCCATTGTGGTGGCTGGAGCCTTGGGTACAGCCCAGATGCCTGGTGGAAATTGCATTAGTCAGATGACAGGACCTGCTCCCTCTTCTCCTGCAGTCTGATGGAGAGCAGAGGAGTGACCTTGGTGACCCTGCCTGACCTCTACTGTCACTGTGGGCTTTGTTCAGTGCCCCGACTCCAGGCTGGAGCCCTGCTCATTGAATCAGGCCCAGCCGGGGGAGCCTGCTATGGGGCTCCTTGTGCATCTAAATTTATTTATACCAGTTGCAGACAGAGAAAACTGGATTTGAGATGGGGAACACCGTGTTATTGAGCCCCAGAAGCCACCGGTCGTCGTATCTACACCCGACCCCAACTCCGAGCCTTGCCTTGGGGCTTAACCATGGCCCCAGACAATCCCCAAGGGTCTAAAGTTCCAACCAGCTGCTCGGAGTGTGGCTTAACTCGTCTCCGCAGGTGAGAACAGGAAAGGAACGCCTCTCTTCTGCTTTCTGTTTTTCCTCCTGGTCCTTCACACAAGGTTAATTTAGACAGCCTAAGTTTTCATGGAGGATGATTGTCTGACCTCTCTTCCCAAATATATTTGGAGTCCTCTTTAGCTTTTGATTAGGTTCCTGTGGAAAATCAGTGTGGGAGAGTATCCATTAGTACAATCTGCCTCTGGGACAACTTGGCCATTAAGGACGTTTACCCTGTGACCCAGCATGTTCTCCATATAGGACTTTATACCAAGGAGGGAGCTCAACAATTTAAATGTGTAGGGAGGAAACCTCATCCTAGTGTTTCCTTAAATGACAAATACCCCACAGTGCGGGATCCTATAGCCCTGTATACAATTGGATGATATACAGTGATTGAAAATGTTGCCATACATGTACGTTAATGACATGAACAGATGTTCTCAATATAATAAGTGAAAAAAAGGGTTTATGACTCACTATATACTATGAGATCATGTTGGTGAAATTTATACATATTGCTCCTAATTTGTAACAGTGGTTATGGTCTGGGTAGGTAATTTTTTACCTTAATATCTAATGGTTTTTGTGTTATTTTCATGATAATTGAGATCTATATCTGTATCTATAGATGTATATACATACGATTGATGTGTGTGTGTGTGTGTGTGTGTGTAGACACGCGCAGGTGTGATTGATTACTCACTGAGATTCCAAGCAAGCTTGAGGTATGAATGTAAACAAGTGCATGTGTTTGGTTTGAGTGGGGGGATGGGGGGAAGGAAACAGAAAAAAAAAAAACACATGGGTCTTAGGAAAGGAAACTGAGGCTTTGGGGATTGTTAAAGAGGACCTGGCACAAGACCTGGGTTTGAGCTGCCTTCAGCACCTGACACTTTGTCCCTTAACTTTCTTCCTCAAAACAACACGTTAGCACTGCTTAATGCTAGATGAGCTGCCAGTAGGACCCCCATTTTGGGCGGGTTTGTAGAGATGCAATTTGAAGTTATCATGCCTGTCACTAAGCTCGATCCAGGAGGCCCCCGGGGGGTGTCTGGTGCTCTGGAATAAATGGAGATGGACACCCCCCCCATCAGAAAATCAGGATGGCTAGGATCCCTTCCAATCCCAGATGACAAAGGCAGAGAATCCCTGAGAGTGGGAGACTGAGTGCTGTTGACCCTGCAGTGAGGGAGGGACTGCAAGGGGGGAGGGGGCAAGGGGTCTCTCTGGGAGATGGCAAAACAGAGAATTGGGTGCGATGTGCACAACAAATAACCCAGCGTCTTGGCTCGTGGCCTGGAGGTGCGAGACCACCCACAGAGCCCGCCCTGGAGGCGAGCTGCTCCCTCCTGGTAACCATTCCAGCAAAGGCCATCACTGGAGGAACAATGTAAAGGCTTGTAGCAGCCTGGGGCCTGAGACTGAAGAGTCCCTCCAACACTCCTGACGGCAGAGGCAGCCTGCGAGGGGTTTTGTTGTCATAATGAGATGCAGATAAAGCGGGGCCTTGGTCCTTAATGCGTGTGCCTCTTCTCTTCCTGTTTAGAGATCTGAGCGAAAACCAGATCCTGGGGATCCCGAGGAAGGCGTTCCGTGGCATCGCCAACGTGAAGAACTTGTAAGTGTTGGGTTTTTTGTTTTTGGGTTTTTTTGGCTTCTCTGCAGATGTGGCTTTCTGGCCAGAACAGGGGTGAGAGATGGGACAGGAAGGTGGTGACCCCATGCTGTTTGCTGCCTCGGTGCAGGCGCCTTTGAGACAGAGTGAGGGATGTGCCTGAGGGATCTGCAGGGAACACATGTCGGAAGCCATGACAGCTCCATGGAGTCCTGTTGCTGTCTGGTGTTTCGGCCCCAAGTGTGAGCATTAGAGTCCCAGACCTGGGCCACAGCCTGGCCCCACAGTAGCTCTGTGGCCTGGGGCTTGACTCAGCTACTCCCAGGGTCGTTATTTTCTATAAAATGGGCATGATGGGCTGGTGGGGTGTTGACAGAGATGAGGACGCATGCCTCATACGTAGTAAGTGTTCAATAAATGGGAGCCTTGATGATGGGGGTGATGATCATGATGGCGAAGGCGTCACTGTTATTAATAGGATCTTGTGAGAGGGCCTGGCCACTGGTTATTCCAGGATTGCAGGGGGACGTAGCCACATCCACCCACTGCACTAGCTGCTTGGTTTTGGAGGTATGTTTAATTTTATTTTGAAGTAATTATTCATTCACAGGAAGTTTCAAAAATAGTAGTTACGTCCATGTGCCCTTTTACCCCAGTTTCCTCCCAGTGGTAACATGTTACATAACTAGTATGGTATCAAAACTGCCATGGGTGCAATCCACGGACGTTATTCTTCAGATTTCGGATCATTACACATGCTCATTTGTGTGTGTGTGCCTGCCCGTGAGGTTCTGTGTAATTTTATCCCATGCAGATTCCTGTGCCCATTGATATGATCAATGCAGAACTAGTCCATCACTATGTTTCTTAACTTGCTAAATAATCTTTGTCGTTGTTAACCTGGCCTCCACTATTTGCTGTTTAGCAGTGACTCCTGGGCCCTTACTTTCACAAGGACTGTGCCTTCTGAATTCTCTCCCCTGCCACCGTGTCCATGTGTTCAGAGCGTGTGTTGGGAGAAGGGCACAGAAGAGAGTCTGGTTTGCCTGGGCAGGCGTTTCTGTCCACTGGCCTCCACAGGCTCACACTCAACCTGAGAAGTCTTGAAGGAGGTTTCTTTAAAATTACTTTAGCTGTTGGTTTTCTTTATAAGGACTGTCCTGAGAAGCTGATGATGGCTTCCAGTTACAGGCTGTCTGCTTCCCCCAGTGCTGAGAACTTAGCAGGAAGCTTTTGCTGTTTAACATGCAAAGCACACAAGAGGGCAGAGGCATCTCAAGGTGAAGGAAGCCTAGGGCAGAGAGGACTTTGCAAGGGGATCCCACACAGGAAGCTGCCCACTGCTTCGTCTGGGTGTGTTTGCTCAGAAGCAGGAGAGGGCAGGCTGGAGCAGACAAAGCCATGGAGAATGTGACTCAAGATTGTGCATATAAGCCAAAACTATGAGGCTGTGTTAATTAGCATCCCAGAAAGGCAAGGCAAGAGGGGGACTTAGAGATCCTCTAAAACCCCCACCGGTCAATAGTGAGAAAATTGAGGACAGGACCAGAGAAGGGCAGTGACTAACTCAAGGTCAACCAGTTTCTTAATCCGGCTGATCCCCAGATTAACATTTTACGTATATAAAGTGGTTTATCTGTCCTATCTCATGGCTCTAATTTTAAATGGGCCAGTTAACAACAACAACAACAAAACACTTCCGTGATGTATAAGCAGGGCTGTGTAATTACCAACTGCAGTTTTGGTTCTCAAGAAAGTGATTAAATCTCACAGTGGTCCACAGTAGTTGCTGAATTGGGGGGGTGGGGGTTGTTTTCCTGTAATACCTCTAACTTCACAAAGGCCTCAGGAGCTCAAAGATTCAAGATTCTGCAAACACAGACTCCTGAGTCACTCAGGAATAACTGTCAGGCCTTCCTTCTCCAGGTCTTGCAAATAGGTGTGACTCAAAGGCCTGAACTCAGGGAGGATCTTCTCTTTTGTTTTTCATACCCAGTGTCAGCATGTGGTCCTGGGGCGAGTGGAGAGGGAAGTAAATCCTCTGCTGAAAGGACGAATTAGCCAACAGAACTTAAGGGGGGTTGATTACTTCACACTTTGAATCAGTTCTTTCAGCATGCATTTGTTGGGCAGAACCTCTGAGGCCGAGGTATTCGCATTCTCTGCTGGCTTCCGGTAAAACTAGGGACAAGAAACACATGCGTACAGGAGAATGTTTAGTGATTTAACAATCCACATGAAGGGGCACCTGGGTGGCTCAGTCGTTAAGCATCTGCCTTCGGCTCAGGTCATGATCCCAGGGTCCTGGGATCGAGCCCCGCATCGGGCTCCCTGCTCGGCGGGAAGCCTGCTTCTCCCTCTCCCACTCCCCCTGCTTGTGTTCCCTCTCTCGCTGTCTCTCTCTCTGTTGAATAAATAAATAAAATCTTTAAAAAAAAAAAAAAGGCTATCAGAGTTCAGAGAAGAAAAATGGCTTCAGGGAGCATAGCCTAAAAGTTAGAAACACAGCTTTGGCCACCTGATAGATCTAGGTCTGACTTTCAGCTATTGTGCACACGGAGTCTGTGACCTTAGGCACCTTACTGGACACTTCTGAGCCTAGATTTCCTCCACTGTAAGATGAGGATAAGAATTGTACTTAACCTCCTAGGCTTTTTGTGAAGGTTGATAAAATAATGAGTATGGATAAGTTAGTACTATGCTTGGTACATGGAAGATATTTAGAAAGTTCTAGCTACTGTTACTGCTGTATTCCTTTGTTGTTGTTATAATTGTAAAGACTTTACCTGGGGCCTGAATGATGATTGGAATTCCCAAAGTAAATGAGGCAACTAGTGTGTGCAAATATAGATGCAAACCTGTATAAGGTGTGTTTCAGGGGACACAGGCAGAGCCTGTGGGGGTGGGGGTGGGGGATTATGAGGCAGAACAACAGGTGATAAAGTTAGGAAGAGAGGTGGAGGCCAGGTGGCGGCAAGCCTTGCCTGCAAGGTGTATAGACTTTAGAGGTAGGTACGGAGAATGTAGATGGCTTACAACATGGGAAAAATCATGATGAAATCATTTATTGTGGAAGAGGAGCCTAGGACAGGAGGAGGAGGAAAAAGGAAAGGCAGGGGACAGGAGATGAGGCTGAGTCCAGTGTAAGGGGTCAAGGCTCACACTTGGGAAAGAGAACAATCAGAAGTGAAGGAGGATCCAAAGATACCAGTAGGGGCCAAGTCAACAGAAATTGGCAATCAATGAGGTATTAGTGGCCGGAGGCGGGGGGGGGGGGGTTAGAAAATGATGAGTTTCCAAGCTCAGATGATACAAGGAATGATGGCAAATTTCCATAGTCTTTCATCTCTGCAGCCATCAAAATGGTTTTGAACCTACTAAATGCCAGCTCTGGGGGAAGCCATAGAAAGTAAGATCTGTAGATCTGTGAGCTTTGCCTTCGTGGAGCTTCCACTCCACAAAGACTGAAAGGTCAGGAGGAGAGGAGCCAGCCTTGATGATCATAAGTTGGGTGTGAAGTGATGTCAAGTCTTCCACAGGCATCGTGGATGGAGCATCTTCTGTGTGTTTGGAAATTGCTGAGACTGACATCCCATCCTCTTGTGCCTGCTGGGTAAATGACTTCGGTCTCTGGGCCACAGCTATGTCTATGAGCCTCAGCTTCCATGGTTTTAATAAGAAGAAGGTAGAGGAAATAATCTTACAGACTTCAGAGAAACTATCATGTGGGTAACTGGAGATATAGGAGCTGACTGAGGGCAAGTTCAAGGAGGGGAAGCATCTGCGTCGAGGTGATAATTGAAGTTATACATTTAAATATGCATCAGTACATGTAAAATAGAAGATGCTTTGTAGAAATTAAGTTTGTTTAAAACCTGTTAAGGAAACACTCCTCCTACCAGACCTCAATTACCTGCGGGTAGATTGTCTCCCTTGTTACGAATTTTAAATCTCAGGAATGTACATCCCTCTCATCATTTTGTTCAAGGACCACCTCCCATTCCCCCTCACCCCAGCCTTCTCTACCGCCTTGTGTGAGTTCAGAGAATATAACACTGTTTTATTTCTTAGATAAAATAGGACTAGAAGATAAATTATTGGAGTATCAGGCTATGAAATGACCACAGTTGGGCCTCTCCACAATACCATGTATTTCATTAGGAGGAGAAGGTCAAGGATTGTCTATTTTCTTTTTTTTAATTTTGTAGTTTTGACATGGATTTTTCTTTGCTTGTCCTGACATTCCCCTTCAAGAAGGAAGAGACTGTGATACACCCATTTTCCAGATGATAAAGTTAAGTTTCAATCAGTGTGTTTAATTTGGTAAAAGTCAGCAGACACAGTTGGGCCTAGGCCTCCCCACATACCTATCCTTAGTAACACACCCGACCACGTTTTAGACTCTACCTGTAGACACTTCTGTGTACCCAGATGCCTCTCCACTCAGCCATGCTAGCGACAGGAAGGAAGGAAGAAGTAACTAAGAAGGCGGTAGCAAGCGAAGGCCTGATTCACAGAGGCAAAGAGGCACGTGTGCAGCTTTTATCAAAGCCAAGGGCGGGCCACAGGTGGTGTTTAATCCAGTGGAAATGGGTGCTAGAGGCCCCCACCCCAACAAGGCAATGGAAGGAAGTCCCTAATTGCTTCCTGGTTCTCAGGAGAAGAGAGAAAATGTAATTAGCTGGGGATACCACTCTATGCAATTTCAAAAAGCTGGTTTTATGGGCCGGTCCCACTCTGCTGCCTGCCTGTCTGTAAGGGGGAGAGGTGCTGTATTTAGAGAAGCAGTGAGCTGGACAAACTGATCCGGAGAAAGAACACGCGGAGAGGCTGACGGGTAGAGAAAGCAACATTCAGCACCGCAGCATCAGCTGCCTCCTGAATGCAAACAGCGCAGCGGGTACCGGACCAGAGGCTCGGGAGGAGGAGAGAGGGAGGGCATCAGGAAGGCACAGAGATAGGGAAAAAGCAGTGAATTGGGAAAAAACAGAGATGACAAGCCA